GATACTATCTCCTTGTCTTCTGTCTTGCATGTTCCTAAGCTTGATACTAACCTTCTTTCAGTCAGTAGTATTACCAAACATATGAACTGCTCAGTAAGTTTCTTCCCTGACCGGTGTGTTTTTCAGGACTTGAAGACGAAGAAGGTGGTTGGGATTGGCCGTGAGACGAATGGGATCTATCTGCTCAGGGAGAGTTCTCGTCGGGAAGAGTTAGTGGATAAGAAGTCATTTGTTTCTCAGATTGTGAGTCCGGTTATGCTTTGGCATAACCGATTAGGTCATTTGTCTTTTCGGTCCTTAAAGAGTCTGTTTCCTACTTTGTTCGAGTCTGTTGAGTTGTCCCAGTTGAAATGTGAAATTTGTGAGTTTGCCAAACATTGTAGAAAATATTATTCTTTGAGTAATAAAAGGAGTAATAGTTCTTTTGATATTGTGCACACTAATGTTTTGGGGCCATATCACATTCCTTCTATGGGTGGGTACAAATACTTTTTGTTATTTGTTGATGACCATACCCGGTTTTCTTAGGTTTATCTTATGCGTTCACGAGATGAGGTTCCAGCTCTGACCCAACACTTCCACCAAATGATCCTAACCCAGTTTGATGCCAAGATCAAAGTTCTTAGATCTGATAATGCAAAGGAATACTTTGCTAAGCCATTGGCATGTTACCTTCTTAATCATGGGGTTATCCACCAGAGCACTTGCCCTCATACACCTCAGCAGAATGGGGTTGCAGAAAGGAAGAATAGGCACATCTTGGAGGTAGCTAGAAGTATTATATTTACCTCCAATGTCCCTATTCGCTTCTGGGGTGATGCTATCCTCACGGCGGTATATCTTATTAATCGGGTTCCTTCCCGGGTTCTTGATATGAAATCCCCTTTTTCCCTTCTATACCCAAATGAGGAGTTGTTTACTGTTCCCCTTAAAACATTTGGTTGCACCTGTTTTGTTCAATTTCTCGGACCCCATCACTCCAAGTTTGAACCAAAGGCCTCCAAATGCATCTTTCTTGATTATGCACAAACTCAAAAGGGTTATTGCTGCTATGATCCTGTCTCAGGGAAGAAGTTTGTCTCCATGGATGTCACTTTCTTTGAGGAGACACCCTATTATCCGAGGGTTTCTCCTCAGGGGGAGAGCAATGAGAGTGGGGATTTGGGTCCTTTTCTTCAGGGGGAGAGCAGTGAGGGTAGGGTTAATACATTCGGGGCTGTTCCCTTACCTATTCCATTGGGTGATGAGGGCTGCAATAGTGAGGGTGGTTAGAGGGATCAGGAGTTGAGAGTCTATCACAGGTGGTGCAGGCAGGTTGATCCCGGTCATCAGCAGTCTAGGCCAGCTCCAATCTCGTCTGCGGCTCCAAGTCCAGGTATTACAGTCCCAGGACCCACAAAGACTCCGTCCACTTCACCTCCTGCAGATGATCTTGACCTTCCTATTGCCGTTCGTAAAGGGAAACGACATTGTACCATATCTACAGCCCACTGCATTTCCCAGTTTTTATCCTATGATCGCCTATCTCCCTCCTACAGGTCCTATCTTACTTCCATTGCCAATGTCCCTATTTCAAGAACAGTGGAAGAAGCCCTATCAGTCCTGGAGTGGAAAGATGCAATGCAAGTTGAAATGGATGCCCTGTTGAAAAATAACACCTGGGAGCTAGTTGATCTGCCCAAAGGAAAGAAACCAGTTGGATGGAGGTGGGTATTTACTATGAAGCACAATGCGGATGGCTCCATTGAGAGGTACAAAGCTCTGCTAGTTGCAAAAGGGTTCACCCAGACTTATGGTATAGATTACTTGGAGACCTTTGCCCCGGTAGCCAAGATGACCACCATTCGAGTTCAATTATCTCTTGTAGCAAGCCACACTTGGTCTTTGTACCAAATGGATGCTAAAAATGCTTTTCTAAATGGAGACCTGCAGGAAGAGGTTTACATGCGGTTGCCTCTTGGATTCTATGATACAGAGACAGGTAAGAAGGTCTGCCGACTGAATAAGGCATTGTATGGTTTGAAGCAGTCACTTAGAGCTTGGTTTGATAGATTCAGACTAGCCCTTGGGAAGTTCGGTTATGTACAGGCCCAGTCAGATCATACATTGTTCATCAAGAGGGTGGAGTCCTCCCTGACATTACTTGCAGTATATGTCGATGATATTGTGGTGACAGGAAATGATAGTCATGAGATTGAGTCTCTCAAACAGTTCCTTCATCAAGAGTTTGAGGTGAAAGATCTTGGTGCACTACGGTATTTTTTGGGTATTGAGGTTGCTAGATCTAAACARGRGATCTTTGTCTCTCAGAGGAAATATGTTCTAGATCTGTTGGCGGAAACTGGAAAGTTAGGTGTCAAACTTGCGGATACACCCATTGAACAGAATCACAGGATTATTGCAGAGAGTGGGGAGCCTCTTGAAGACAAAGTTATGTTCCAACGATTAGTGGGAAAGCTGCTATATCTCTGCCTCACTTGGCCAGATATCAGTTGTGCAGTTAGTGTTGTCAGCCAGTATATGCATTCTCCTAGGACCACACATCTTCTTGCAGCAGAAAGAATATTAGCATACTTGAAGAGATGCCCGGGTAGAGGTATACTGTTCAAGAACAATAATCACATGAAGGTGGAGGTCTATACGAATGCCGATTGGATTGGGAGTGTTGATGACAGAAGGTCTACCTCTGGTTATTGTGTCCTTGTGGGAGGTAACCTTGTCTCTTGGAGGAGTAAAAAACAGAGTGTTGTCTCCCGATCTAGTGCTGAAGCTGAATACAGGTCAATGGCTAACGGAGTGGCTGAAATYCTATGGCTGAGATCACTACTTGAGGAGTTGGGTATTGAGTATGAGAAGCCCCTGATGCTGTATTGTGATAATCAAGCGGCTATTAATATAGCACACAACCTGGTGCAGCATGACAAAATTAAACATATTGAAGTTGATTGACATTTTGTACGAGAGAGGGTCTCATCACAAGAAGTGTGCCTCCCGTACATCACATCCAACATGCAGCTCATAGATATCCTCACCAAAGCTGTACCAAGGAAGAAGTTAGAGGCGGACCAATCCAAGTTGGGAATGATAAACATTTATTCCCAACTTGAGGGGGAGTGTAGAGAACACTAATGTGGGCCCCACAACTATGGTCCCACTGTGTTCGTAGGGTAGAATGTGTTTTAATCATCCTAGGGTTAGCTGGTGGTCAGTCTGTCATTTCAGTTGCTATTTATTTCAGTTTTATTTTGTTCTATTTGTCATGTAAATACTAAGGGCAGATCTGTCCTTTCCATGTAATAAGCATAACCTATAAATACTAAATAGAAGTGATGGCGGCAGAACTATCAGATTTTGTCCCTCCTTTCAACCCTTTGTGTTCTACAGTTCTCTCTTCTCTTTCTCTTCTCTTCTCTATATTTTTTCTTCTATTTTCGAACCTGAAATCTATTAGGGTTCAAGGCTGATAGCAGTCTTGAACGTCTACTAATATGTTAGAGTGATTAGTTAATTGAAATTTATTTTAGTTTCCTTAATTGTTTTAAAGATTAATCTTGGATTAAATCCAAAAATCTGAAAGGATTTTAGTACAATGAGAACTCTAGAGAACTGATTAGATTTGTACTTCATTTTTAATAAGTGGATTAGATTTTATTGTTGCTGGATCTGTATTCATCCTGATTTAGTCCTAGGGATGGAAGTCGGTGCAGCTTGCCTAGTATTTTTCTAGGTGTTAGCTTGAGCACAATCTGTGCAGCCAGTGATCTTCCAGCATCTTTCTTGGCTAGTCCTTTCTATATTTCTCTGTTTTATTCTTCTAAACTTGTTGTGCCAGTTAACTGACATGGAATTTAGTTCTTGATCTTGTATTGAAGAGATGACAAAATTTCATTTTAGTTGGGAACATGGGATGACAATTCATCCAAACATTCATTTTGAATTAATGAGCCAGGGTCTTTGTATATTTGTCCAACTTGATAATTCAAAATTGAACTTGATGAATTATCTGAACTTGACAAAAGTTGAGCCTTTGTTCCAAAAGATGTGTATTGAGCATGGGCTTTTCATCGGGCATTTTGTGTTACCAAGGTGGCTAGACTTTCATGGGGCATGGGATTCCAGTGGTCTGTTGGACTCTTCCAAGTAGTTGATGAAGATTCTCCTTGATTTTTCAGAAGAATTTTTGTTAAAAATAACTTACATCCCCCAAAGGTAAGAGTCTGCACCTAGAGACCATAGTTCAAGACCCAAGGTCTAATCTTCATGGATGTAGGAGTATCATGTTGCATCTGCAATGTTGTGGTAACTGTAGAAGCCCCTACCTTTACATCCTACTCCTTTCATGCCTTTTGAGTAGGTTGTGATGTGGACTTCTCCTTTGAGATTCTCACCTTCATGACTAATTCTGCTGGAGGAGTTGGTAGGTTGTTGGGGGTCATCCCAATGATTATTTGGGTGGGTAAGATTACCCTAATCATTGGTTTCATTGAATTCATTCGGTATGCTCCTTCTTCCATTGATACTTTCATGGTTCTGTTTGCTACCATTTCTGTAACTTTAACCAATGAGAATCTCAAGTCGTGCCATTTGCCAAGTTGATCATGGCCTAAACGCTGGGACTTTTCTTGGATTTGAAGACCTTTCTCAGTTTTCATGGAGATGAAGGATATTGCATTAGCAAGAGGGTCCTATTCTATAGTGAATTTAGCTTTGTAAAAGGTTTTTCATGGGCCCATTTCAGTTCCTTGACCTACAGAAATTTTGTTATAGTATGCCATTGTCAGAGTTCCTGTAATGGATAAGAAAACTATTAGACTTTATTATTAGTTTGTTATACCATTAGTACAATTTAAGTCAAATTTTAAAAGAAGAATGGGACCTACCGGAAGGGTTTGATTGCATCTGTGTCATTATGTATTATTGATTGTCACTCAAATTAATTCTTCTTAATTCATAATTGAATTGTCATGTCACTGTCTTAAATCTTATGGTTATTTTAACAGATATGAAGTGCAGGGTTATGATAATGAAGTTGACATGTGGTTTACCAATGCTATTTGTCGACCATGCACCTTATTAAGATTCTCCAGTTCAGAGGATCCCTGTTACATGAATAAATGCAATACTGGTACATGCAGAGATGTTGAGAGCAGGTTGAATTTTGTCAATGAAGCTCAATTCTTGTTAGTTTCCCAGGAGAGTGTCTCTGAGCTCAACAGCAGATTAATGATAAGTATGTCTCTCAAGTATACTCTTTTCCCATATTTCAACAGCTCTTTCTTCAAATCCTAGTAGAAGGATGCATAGATATTTCCAGTACTGTTTTGTTCATGATATTGATATATTCCTAAAATTATCAATAATTCTTTTTCTAGCTCTGCCCCTCCAAAACAAATTTACATTAGAATATCTTAATTCCTAAAACCAAACCATAAATGTTTTTTTTTTCTTTTCTCTCTCTCCCACTTCCTAACAAAAGAAATCAATCTATAAAAGGGAAAAGAATATGGACAAACTTTTGTTCAAGCTGTTCACAGGGCTTCATTAGAAAAGTATTGATTATTTTCAGGAGTGGATAACCTCCTAGGTAGGTGGTAACCGAGGTGTCACACAGATAAACTAATGAATGCCATATACACATAATCCAACAGCCATCATGATGGTGGAGTGTATTATACATTCTAGAACCATCCATTATTTATTGATCCCCAGATGTAACAACCTATGTTTTGGTCACATAGTTTAGATCTTTATGTAGTGAACAACTGTATGTCATATAATTTCCAGCTACCAGTATGGGTACACAATGTTATATGTTCACAGATGTATTGACTCTGTTACATGACATTTTTTTATCTTTCTTACTAGTAAAAAGAATTCAGTAAATTGTATAAATTAGACATGGATTGGAGACTATATTTATAAATTTTCAAATGTAAACATCTTTATGAAGCTTCACTCCCTCTCATTGATGCAATAATTTACTGAAAAGTGCTAGCTTTGGGTAACCAATTTATGTTGGTCCAATGAGATTCTACCTCCATTTGTAGTCAAGTTGATCCTGTGACTTCATCAAGTGTCTTTTGTGATGGCAGATATGCAAAAATCTAGTAATGGACAACCAATTCATGTTGATCCAATGAGGTTCCGTCCCAACCTTGTCATCTCTGGAGCAGAACCATTTGCTGAAGATTGTTGGAGAGAGCTTAGGATTGGGAACAAATGCTTTACAGTAAATTCTGAGTATCTTTTCCTTTTTCTGGGGTTGTTTGGAAAGACACTGACCTGCCATAGTTTAAATGAAATCATTAAACTTTATACTATGTTTGCCTTGGATCCTCTACAAAATTTTAAAGCTGACCAAGGAAATTGGACAACGAAGATTGCTGGCATGGTTACCATATCAAAAGGAAGCAAAAAGTCATTACCCAGTTAACCATTTCTAATTCAACAAGGGCATAGTTTGATTGTCTAATTAAAGATTTTATATGCGGCATGTGCTCTTTATAAGTTGTCTTAGTTGAACTCCAGGTTGAAATGGTATAAAAAAAAATTATATTTTAAAATTTTGAACCTTTTCTTTAAAATTTCTTTTGTACCACATTTTTCCAGTATCTTTCTTATAACTCAAAACCAGAAAGCCAAATTTTCCATGAGAAATGACATTGCTGTATATAGTATATTAATGTGACTGTAACTACAGGAACCAAGTATCAATACCGAAAAACATTGACCTGAATAATCTTGATTCATTGCCCAAATATCAATAAACAAATAAATCAAAGTATAACAAGAGAATATTATGCAACACCATATAGCTGATTAATGTGACTGAACCATACAAAACACACCATATTTTTTGTTCATGATAAACAAGATTTCTGTCTTATCAGTAATTTAAAAGGTGCACCTCAGTTGTGCCTAGATGCACAAGTAAGGCACATATAAAAAGACCTGCACCTGGTGTGCCTTGCGCCTAATCCCAGTTGTGTGCCTTTTCAATCATAAAGGCTGGGCAGGGCCTCTGCCCCAGACCCCTGATCAAGCTTCTCGAGGCAAGCCCAGACAAGTTCATTTGAGAATAGTTAGTTTCTCACATGAATCAAATGGTGTTTGATAATGTTAGAATCGTTAGTTTCTATACTTATAATTAACCAGTTTCTGTACTGTAAGTGCTACAAGGGCATAAAGTCCTTTTGCCTTTTTTTCCTTAATTGGCACCCTATATATACGAATAGAATCTGGCACCGCCAGAACTGATTTCGCCTCTCAACCTTTTTCTCTTGTCTTCTCCCTTGTCTCTTCTCTCTTCTCTCTCTCCTCTCTTCTTCCATATTTCTACTATTTTTTACTGCTAATATGGTATCAGAGTGAAACTACAGGGCTTGAGAGCAGATCGAACAACTTTTTTCTCCTTCATCTTTCTATCTTCTCCAGATTGAGATCAAAAGGACAAACCTATGACTGACACAGCAGGTTTTTATGTTTTTTCTCCCTTCCTCTTGGTCGTATACCAAGAAAAAACTATGAATTAAGGCAGCTGAATGCTGTGAGAAAGTACTATGTTTTTCATATCACTTCTTTGTGAATCAGGTGATCCTTGTTCCTAAGAATGGAATTTCTGTAGGTCACAGATGACCTGCTTTTGACCTTTATTGGTGTTTTTTTGGCAAAATTAGGGCTGGTTTGTGTCCAGATTGTGTCCAGACTGTATTGTGTGCATGTGGGCTGCCATTCTGTTGTGTCTCTAGGACTGATCTGTGTCAGGAGGGATCCTTGGGTGTGTGTTTAAAGCTGAATAGTGAGCTGAATCATGTCCTTTGAAGATTATGCAACTTCTGGGGTTTCTATAGGTCAAAATGGAATGAATGGGGGCTGTATATGAGTTTCCCTATGGCTATAATTCCCTTTGATGGACTAAATTACCTTGAATGGTCTGGGAGAATTAATCTCTATATTACTACGATGGGGAAAATAGGGTATTTCAATAATAAAGTGAAGAAACCAAAGACTCGAAGTGGGATCAAGAGAATGGTATGGTTATGTTGGAGCTCTTGGTTTCCATGCTGCCACAAGTGAGAAAGGCATTTATGTGGGCTGAAACAGATTGTGAAATATGGGAACAAGCAAAATCTATCTATTCAAAGTAGAGCCACTATGCAAAGATATACCAATTGCAAGCCAAATCATCCACTTGTAAGCAGGAGGAAAAGAGTCACTCAGTATATTACTTATATCTGACATCAATCTAGAAAGAGTTGGACCACTATCAAAGTGTGAATTGGAAATGCGATGAAGACGTAAAAGCTTACAGGTCCCTTGTCTCCCAACAACGGGTATTTGCTTTTCTCTTGGTACTGAATCCTATATATGAATATATCATAGAATAAATCTTGGGAAGTAAGGAATTACCTTCAGTTCAGGAGGTTTATGCCTTAGTCTAGTCTGAGGAGAGTAGAATAAGTGTGATGAATTGTTCAGAGGGGGAACCAGTTGCTCTAGTAGTCACATGCATAGTTGTCAAGGCGACGCCTAGGTGACAAGGGGCCCTTGGAGGCTCGCCTTGCCCAGTCGCGAAGCAGTTTTGTGCATAGGGTTATAAAATACTTTTATGTTTTTAATTTTTTGGCATTATAATTATAAAATAGACATTATTAAACTAGAATATTCATTAAATGTGTTTATATATTAATTTCTTTTTATTATTTTCTTATTTGTTAGGGTTTAATCAACACAAACATTGCTAACTATTGTATTGAACCCATGGTTCAAAGTATCGATACACCTCTGTGTATCGGCATAGGTGAATCGGAACTTATAGTGATACTCCCCCTATTTTTTTATTTCTATGGTTTTCAATTTCATATATATATATATATTATTTAAAAAAATGGGTCCCTGAAAACACCCGTAAACAGGTGTATCGAGACCCCAAAGATACAATACAATACACCTGATACAGGGCGTATCGTATCAAAATTTTGATCCTTGATTGAACCCTCAAAAATTTCAAAACTTGAACCAATAAGCAATGGAAGAACTTAAAATTTTGTCTAACCAAAATACATTTTCTTCTTCCACATCTTCTTCTTCTTCGATCTCTTCTTTTCTTCTTTCCTATAAAAACGTAGGGGTTCAGCCCCTATATTTTTTGAATTTTCTTTCCTTTGTTCTTTTTCTTCTCATAAGATGTTGATTTTCTAGACTTGAACATGAAATTTATAGTTCTCTTATGAAAATTATGAATAATTATTAAGGAAAGATGGTTATGGAACCTAGGGAACTACCCTAGGATATATGGTTTTACTTGAAAAAAATTCATTGCCTAGGCGCCCACCTAGGCAGCTAGGCGACAAGGCGCCCCCCTGTCGCCTAGCCTTGCCTTGGCGCCTTGAAAACTATGGTCACATGTTGGAATATCCATGGGAAGCCTAAATGGGCTTAGAATTAAGTAAAAAATCAGCATCTGATCAGAGTAAGAAGCTAGTTCAACAGAATCAGAAGAAATATAACTCAGCGAATGTGGCCTCTCAATGGACTTTGTTTGCTGAAATAGAGCTGTCGAATGAGAGGAGAAGAAGAAGAAGAAGATATGAGATGGGTGGCAGAAGTGTTCTCAGCCAGCCCTAATCTATTATATATAAGAACATTACATAATGTTACATAAATAGACCAGAATGCCCCTGATTAGTGATGGGACACCTAGTCAAAATAAACACTAAATAAGATTAGGCCCAATAACTAAT